ATTAGGTTTGGAGGCCATCGCTAGTAGGTTTGGAGGCCGTCGCTATTAGGTTTGGAGGCCATCGCTATTAGGTTTGGAGGCCATCGCTATTAGGTTTGGAGGCCATCGCTAGTAGGTTGGAGGCCATCGCTATTAGGTTTGGAGGCCATCGCTAGTAGGCCATCGCTATTAGGTTTGGAGGCCATCGCCATTAGGTTTGGCGGCCATCGCTAGTAGGTTTGGAGGCCATCGCTATTAGGTTTGGAGGCCATCGCTATTAGGTTTGAAGGCCATCGCTAGTAGGTTTGGAGGCCCTCGCTATTAGGTTTGGAGGCCATCGCTATTAGGTTTGAAGGCCATCGCTAGTAGGTTGGAGGCCATCGCTATTAGGTTTGGAGGCCATCACTCCTAGTAGCAAGAATGCTACTAGTAGGGCTTTGAATAGCTATCCAATTCCTATAGATCAACTCACCGTGGCCAACTGTCACAGGTAGCATGGGCATCCATCCCCATGCTGCGTACGGTGTAGGAGATGCTCTTCTGGTTCAACGTTTTCAACAAACAACAGCAACACAATGCAAAACACATAGCATCACATGGCTGCTTCTCAAAATGACAGGACCTCAGAAGGCACCGCAATACTACACCATCTGAAGAACATCCAGTGGGCAAACAAATCCACCAAGAAGGTGCTCCTCAGGGGGCTGAATAGATATTTTACCGGCCTGACGAACACAAAGCCTCAGCGGTAGTTCCTTGGAGAATCGTGAAAGGCTGGGCCGAGAAGGCTGGTGCCAGGTCCGGTTCCACCCTGGGTGGGTTGAGAGTGCAAAGGTCCTTGTTCCCATTAGTAATGACAGGAGCTACTAGTAGCTTCTTGCCACTAGTAGCGATGCACCTTGTTACTAGTAGTTTCTTGTTCCTAGAAGAGTCGCACCGGTGTTTGATGTCATGTTATGATTTGTCATGATTCACCCAATGTGCAGCCGTGATGTCCTTCGGTTCTGCAACAAAACTTGTGTAGACCTGGCTCTCACTGTGGTATCAGCACAGCTGGCGATCATGGAATCAGCTTTAGTGGTGTAAACTTTTAAACAGTCGTAAGCGCATAATTATGAACTTTACCTGAATCCTACAGTAGGCATTTCTGCAAAAATCCACAAAACATGCATGTCTCAAAGTTGCTTTCTCTAACGCCGGCCTCATGGCCATCAGTCCAGCAATTGCAACTCCTTTCCCAGTCCCCCAGCGGAGTTCCTCCGTTCCGTCCTCTCCATTCCTCCCAAGAAGCGGGTTGTTGGCATCGAATCCCAGATCGCTCACGGCCATCTTGGTGAACTTCTTCTTCTCCTACAGCAAGCACGAGGCACCGTGAGGATCCGTGAGGCGCACCAAGAAACAACTCTGACCACCTCCTCCCCTACAGCCCATACAGCCCTCTTGAGATCTCTTGAGAAGTTGCAGTTTGCTGTGTTTTTTTGGGGGAATAACGGGAATAAGCCCAAAATTGTACATGCTTAGTACCTCTGACAGGAATAAAGACTTCACAGTTTCGTGGTACCAAGCTGCTGGACTAAATTGACGACACATCCATGTCACACCTGCATGACAAATGGATGTGGCTATGCCGTCTATCTGTTTTCGGTAGCAAAAAGTTTTGCCGAGCTCCATTAAGAACTAGTCTTCTGCACCCCTTCAGAGAAAACGTCTTCCCAAAACTGCCTGCGCTAAGGTATCGATGAGGGGCGTTTCAGCCACCAATCCCAAACATGGCGGCTTATATCATTGAGGCCCTGTGGCTTCACCGAACAACCTTGGTCCAAGTTGTGTGTTCCCCAACAGTTTGCTCGTGGTCACAAACCTCCTTGCGTGTGAGTCTTAAAAAGCACCCTATTAGGTGTGAGTCTCCATAATAAGCAGTGGCCATATAGCTATCTCAACACAAACAAAAAGGGAGGATCGAAGAAAATCACCAACAAATTGTATTGGAAGTTGTTTCCATTTTGGGGAGACCTCCAAACAGGTTTTTGTCCCTGCCCATTTCAGCTCCCTCTCTGCAGGCGTTGCCCAAATATAAAGCGGGCCTTCTTCTTGGGAGGTGGTACGCCTTGAGGTTTGGCTGCAGCTGGCGCCTGCACTTGCGAAAGGCCCAGTAGTTACCCCAGTTTTTCCAACGTTGATAGTGGATGCACAGGCGGGCAATATTGAAACATTGCAAATACATAAATACCACAATCTCCAGGTTGTCCACTCAAACTGCTACTCTGGCAGCTGCCCTATCGAAGTGGGAAACAAACAAAGTTGAATTCGCTCTTTTGATTCTCCTCATGGCCATGTTGCCATGTAGCTGCACAAACAAAACGCACCTCTGTGGCGGCCACCGCTGCAGCTTCCTGCCTGATTAGATTCACCACATTGACTGCTGTTTTCAGGGACTCTGGGAATACCAGCCACACACCTCGCTCGTTCAGTTGTTTTCCAAAGGATTGATAGTTGTGACTTGCTTTCCAACCTTTTCCACAGGGTGCGCCCAAGGCCGTCAATGGCCTATAACCCTAATTACAAACCAATGCAAGGTCCCCTCCATCCCTTCGCGAACACTCCCCGGTGTTGCACCCAGCTGCAAGGAGGGTCCAACGGCCTCGTCCGGCGACCTCGGTCGCAGCGAAGGGCCGAAGGGATGCGAGGCAGGGCGAGGGCATGACGAGGCATGGGTAACAAGTACAAAGAACGGTTAGCAACTTGTAATCAGCCAATTAAACAGAGTCATCTGTGATCTGGAGCCTGTTACTGAGGCTGAAACGATTGATTCTGATCAACTGCTTCAAGCAGTGGCCGGGACTCCGGCGAACTTCCCCCTGGTTGGTCCTACCCTTGCAGTCTAGCTGATGTTGGGAGCTGCATCATGCTGCATCTGAAGGGTTCTGAACATCGACCTTTGTTTGTTCATGAATCCACCAAAAATTGCCTATATAGTTTTATGAGTCCGGGCCATGGTTTTGAGTGAATCCCTGTCTCAACATATCTTTGGTTAAAGGCTGTTTCCAATTGTTTCCATGCCGCTCTCAACCCCCACAAGAACAACTCCACTGCTACCTGTCTACCCCGTGGCTGTCATTCCAAGCAGTCACTCCCAGGCTTCCCTGCTCCTCCGCCGCGCCCTCTACCTTCCCCCACTTGGACGGCGGAAGTGGCGCCTGCCCATACAGTCAAACGGAAGACTGGAACATACTGGGACCAAGAAGACGGCACAGTGAAGAAGACTTGAGTTGTCAGTGAAGAGTTGAACATTAAAGTCATTTCTGGTGACATGTGTTCCAGGACCAGAGCGAAAACGAGAAAAAACACCGGTGGCGTATCAAACTGACTGCGATCCCGGGTCTGTTTTTGGATTGGGGAGATCCCCAACCAATGGTCTATTTTCCTTCCTGCTTAGGGTCTTTGGGAGGTCTCCTATTTTAGTGCAATGTAGCTCTGAGACATGCAAGACCTGCAGTTCAACCGCATCAAAAATCTATCCCACCAGTTGCATTTTTTTGTCTGTGCCGTCTAGTTTGCAAGACTGATGACAAAAGCTGAGAGCTCTTCCAGTTCTTCAGACAGACCATCACTGACCTTCTTCATCACCCGATCCAGTTATTAATATCCCCCCAACTGTTGCCCAGCACCTGCCCTGGGCTCACCCATCGCTTAATCCTGGCCTTCGCCTTGGGCGCCACCTTCGGCTTTGCCGCGGGCTTCGGTGCCGGTGGCTTCGTCTCGGGCGTGGTGGGCACCGCATCGGTCCTTGGTCGGCAAACGAGGGTTGCTTCGCTTGCGTACCGAGCCGTTGCCGGCGTCGAACGACGAAGCATGACGAAGCAATTCGTTCATGCATCCTCTGCATCAGCCATATCACTTTGGCCCGCTGTGTGAGGCTCTGTCAATCCCTCAAGAGAGTTAACAAATATATAGAGTGAATCGAGACACAGGATGCTATATCTCTTTGCCGCGCCCGACAATGGCTCCGAAAGCATGCATGCATGTTCGTCAAGCTGCGAATTGGTGGGTGGCGTGCTGGGGGCTTCTTCTTCTGCCTGTCAAGGTTGTGAACATCTGCTTTAGAATCGAAACGCTTGCAGAAGTCAGCTTTTTCGTTGGTCTACCAAGGTATCTCGACCACAGGACAGCATCGCAAGCCGTGCCAATGGTCCCGTGTGTGTAAGCCTTGGTCGTCCAAATCTTATCTCAGATCCAGCTGGTCGTGGAATATTCAGATCATTGACCTGTTTTGTTCTTTTTTGGCTTTTGAACTCGGTCATGGATGAATTCTTCTGTGTCCACCCCAATGTTCAAATTGATGAGTCTATGAACCCGGAGACCTCAACACTTGGCAACACCAAAAACAGCACTCCAAAGTCCTCCCAAAAACGATAAAAACTCTCCAAGGCTATAAGTCTTCAATGTGATGCCAAACTGCTCTGTCATACAAAACCATTGGGTGAATCCCACACACCTCTCCATTGTCCAGCTTTGTATTTGGACGAACTGTGATTCGCCTCCGCCGCCTCCGCCACGCCCTCCACGGCTTCCTCCTCTTCCCGGGGCGGTGGCTGAAAGAAGTCCTCCAACCGCGGCGGCGGTGAGCGGCGCTTAGCGAAGCGAAACATCGCGCGGCCCATATGAAGCAGATTTCGGGATGAGCAAGCGATATAGCTAGAGTCTGTCGTTCAACATCTTTCAACCATTCCGACTTGGAACAACATGGTACTGATTGACTTGGAGTGCACGAAAGGAAGCACTGGGCCAGCCCTGAGTAGCTACAAACAGCAAAATGGGTTGGCGGATCCAACAAGACACCCAACCGCTCAAAGCACGGAAGTCGTTTCCGATCAACATGCTTCCGCGGATCCCCACCTTGGGGGAGTATTGAGGATTAACACCCAACAACAAAAAACGTGAACATCATATTCCACTGTACTACCTGTTGTACTCCTACCAGTCTACCAGTCATGTATTCTGGGTATGTCTGGGTCTTCAAATCCAATAAACCATCACGGTATAAGGTATGATAATTGCTGTCATGTCAAATGAGTGACCATTCTTGTTCTCTAATCTGATCCCCAAAGATGGTGCCCGTGCCCCCTGTCAATCGTACCACCTCGCTCCGATGACCAACCAATCCAACGAAAAAAAACAATAACACATTATTTTCCACTGGTCGATTGCCAAGGAACATGAGGATCCAGCTTGGTTCGATGGACCTTCCTCAGAACTTCATGTGTTCAGTGATGTTTGGTGTGGGTTTCGGTTGGCGAAACGAAAAGACGAAAAGGGATGAAACGGGTGTGGAGAGCAGCTGGTATGTCAGTGTACAAGGCTGTGAGGACAAAGCGGTAGACTCTAAACAACCCAGTGGTCAAACTTGGTCGGTTGGCGATGTGCATTGAGTTCTAATCATCGTGCTGGGTACTCTCCAGGGTACTGGAATTTGAGGGTAATTTACCCTCAGCCAGTGCTTGTTTCTCACTGTTCACAGCTCCGTTTGATAACATGACAAGAGCATCATATCATATCGCCTTGGTTCAAGTGATGAAAAACGTACACCTTATAATATAGGCCAAATGATCGCATATGGCATATGTGTACTATAGGAAAACAATCATCAAACTGGTATAACTTCGTAAAAAATGAGAAGTTATACCAGTCGATCTGGGAAATGTTCGTTCACAATCCCTTGAACCAGTCGATCCGGTTGAGTCCTTCACCGTGCCCACAGCCCAACCAGTCACCGAGGAGCTCTTTCTTCTTCGCCTGTGGCTGCGCCTTCTGTGGCTTCAACGCGGCCTGGGCGGGCCAAATCGACACAACGATGCGAGGACTGGACTCATCCGGTGAGAAAGGTGCGAAGCGAGGGAATGCCGTTTCATTTTGGAAGTCCTCTGAGCCGTTGCCTAGTAACAAGTGCGTCGCTACTGGTAGCTATGTGTACTACTACTAGTAACAAGAAGCTACTGGTATTGAAAAAGAAAATTACTTTTCTTCGAGTGATCCCCACCATGACATTTCAATCATTTGTCTTGATGCCATAGTGAGGAGCATGTTGCCATCGTCGTCAGTATTGTAGTTCTCGATGTTGCTTGTGGGTCCTCGGGTTGTGTGCTGTGGTTGTGTGCTGTGTTGTGGTTGTGGTTGTGTTTGTGGTTGTGTGTTTGTGGTTGTGTGTTTGTGGTTGTGTGTTTGTGGTTGTGTGTTTGTGGTTGTGTTTGTGGTTGTGTGTTTGTGGTTGTGTGTTTGTGGTTGTGTGTTTCTGGTTGTGTGTTTGTGGTTGTGTGTTTGTGGTTGTGTGTTTGTGGTTGTGTGTTTGTGGTTGTGGTAGTGGTTGTGATTGAGTGTTTGTAGTTGTGGTTGTGGTTGCGGTTGTGTCTTTGTGATTGTGTGTTTGTAGTTGTGGTTGTGGTTGTGTGTTTGTGGATGTATTTGTGGTTGTGCTTGTGGTAGTGGTAGTGGTTGTGATTATGTGTTTGTAGTTGTGGTTGTGGTTGTGTCTTTGTGATTATGTGTTTGTAGTTGTGGTTGTGGTTGTGGTTGTGTCTTTGTGATTGTGTGTTTGTACTTGTGGTTGTGGTTGTGTGTTTGTGGTTGTGTTTGTGGATGTGTTTGTGGTTGTGTTTGTGGTTGTGTGTTTGTGGTTGTGTCTCTTTGATTGTGTGTTTGTACTTGTGGTTGTGGTTGTGTGTTTGTGGTTGTGTTTGTGGCTGTGTTTGTGGTTGTGTTTGTGGTTGTGTGTTTGTGGTTGTGTGTTTGTGTGTTTGTGGTTGTGTGTTTGTGGTTGTGTGTTTGTGGTTGTGTGTTTGTGTGTGTGTGTGTTTGTGGTTGTGTGTTGTGTGTATGTTTGTGGTTGTGTGTTTGTGATCGTGTCTTTGTAGTTGTGTTTGTAGTTGTGTGTTTGTGATTGTGTTTGTAGTTGCGTGTTTGTGATTGTCCAGGGGTTGAGGTCCAGGGGTGCACACTGCGATCCGGAGCTGGCCAGACAAGATCGGCGAAGCAGATTGGCGAGGAAGGAAGCAAGGAGGAAGGAGGAAGGAGGAGGACGAGGAGGCGGCGGAGGCGGAGGCGGAGGCGGAGGCGGAGGCGGAGGCGGAGGCGGAGGCGGAGGCGGAGGCGGAGGAAGAACAGCTGTGATAAAATCTAACAACCCTCACCTGGCAGGTGGGAAAAAACTCCTAATACCGCAGTTCCTCAGCGTTCGCCGAAGCATGGTGGCCTCCTACGGGAAAAATGTGGCCTCCTGGCGCTTGCTCTCGAGGCGCGCTTCAAGCTCCTCAGGGTCTGTGGCAAGCAGCGGCTCAGTCCCTAAACTCAACCAGGTTGCCAGGTTGGTACTGGAAACACCAAACAAAATCGAGCCAATGAGGATTCTGCTTGCTTCCAACATATTCCCAAACTTGAAAATTAGTTTTTAGAGTGCATCTATTCTGATCCACTGGTCTCCAGGTTGATCATATCTCCTCTCCCAACATGTCCAAAACCTTAATCCAAAAAGGGATTGGAAGAGAACCCTTGGCTACAGTCTGTCTCCAACACAACATCACTAGCTTATTCACTCCAAACGTGGCTCCTCAGTTCGGAAATCGCCCCTGACCAGCCGAGAAACATGTCCAAGCCCCTTCACCGAAGTTTGGGGTACTCAACAGAAGGTGTATGATGGGTTTTCGCCCCCGCAACGCCCCGCCCGTGTGAGTCGTGTCGTGGCGGGAGAAGAGACCGAAGCACACGACGGACCCGTCGCTCCGCTCCTGTGCCTTCCGCTCTTCGGCTTCGCGGTGCGCCTGAAAGCCAAACACCCCGCGGCGCCAGGCAGTCTGGGGCGACCACATGTCATTGCATGTGTCCCTCGCCACGCCCACATGACCCGCTGCGAATCCCAAAAACAGTGGCAAAAGGCAAAGATCTGCGGCAGCACTGGGTTGGGTTTGTAGATCAATATCGTGATCCAATATGGCAAACTTGCTGCCATCAGGTTGGCCATATATGTGCATCGCTTGCTAAATATTCCACCCTGAATATATCACGTCTTGGAGGTACAATCGCCTCCAAGTCATAGAATGTGGAACCATCCAACAACACCATAACGCACCATATAATGTATAATACAGTATGTCTGTGCATGCTCCATTTATTGAGCTGGAAAGTGTTGCCGGAGAAATCCAACGGACATGCTATGACATGCTTCATTCCCCCCCAAAACCAGCACCCCCTGACCACGTGTTTTCGCGTGAAGTTCGGGTCTTCTTTCGACTTACTTGGTGTCCACATGGTTACACAGCTGGTGTCCGCTGCAATCCGCAAGGTGCGCGCCCGTCCCACAGCCTGGCGCTTCTTCTCAAGGGCCTCCTCTTCCTGTGCACAGGTCTGTCAGTTGGAGCATGCGTTTGTTCAAAAAAGATCATGGGAACCACCCAATTTCCCCTCCTTCATGCAGAATCAAATGACAATTCTACAGAGAATGAACCTGCCAACCAAACCCTGTAGCCTCGCTGGACCCTTGATCAAGCGGAGATCATTTCTTAAAACCCTTGTTTTGAGTAAAAGAGGTGGTTGGTGGGCTTTCCCAAACAAGATTAATCACAAAAGTAGACATGTCACAAGTCTTCTCAAAAAAATATGTGTTTGTTATCATTCTGGCGTCATTGAAAAAGAATCTCATCTTCTTTGCTCCCCTCTTAAGTCTTCGAATGTTCACCAGCAGTGGCCATGAAGGGAGCTACTCCAAACCAAAAGCATGAGTGTGTCTGATTTTCCACTCAAACCCTCAGAGTCCATGCAATCGTCTTCCAGGGTGTATCTGTTAGTCTAGGAGCAAGTGCATCGCTACTAGTAACAAGGGCATTACTACTAGTAACAAGAAGCTACTAGGGGCTCCTGGCATCGCTACTAGGAGCAAGGACGCTACGAACGGGGCTCCTGGCCCTCGTGGCCGAGCTCAGCTCTGTCTCTTTCCATTCGACCGAGCTCCGCTCGCGCACCCCCGCTCCAAACACGCCTGCCGGCGTCTTCGCTCTTCAGCTTCCTCTGCTTCCTTCTTCGCTTGCTCGGCCTGAGCGGATCGTTCCGGGAGAAAACCGGAAAACCCAGAGTCGAAATGAAAGGCCGAAGTGAAATGCCAATGATTGAGACTGTTTTTTTCCTCCTGCTCAACTATATATACAAAGTCGACCCACATGTGAACATGTCCGAACAATCCACAAGGACCCCCTGTTTTCACACACGCCCCCGGCACCTTGTGCTTTTCGAGCTCAATGAGGGCTTTCTGCAGACGCCGCTGGAAGTCCTGCGCGCTCGGGAGGGACGATTTGGATCACTCAAAAGGCTACTCCTGGCATCGCTACTAATAACAAAGGGCATCGCTACTAGGAGCAAGGACGCTACTAGTAACTAAGGGCATGACTATATATACTAGTAGCAAGAGGCTACTAGTAGCTAGGGTGCATCGCTGAGATCCAAACCATCACCCACCACTGAGTATCGAGGTTTAGACCGCATATGGGGACTAGAAAAACTTGCCAACTTCCTGTTGCCGAAGTCCGAAGACTGTATAATAGTAGCCTTGCAGTCAAGTTAAGGAAATTCCCTTTCAGGTTCCCTAAAGAGTCTTCTTTTAGAGTCTTGGACTCTTCATAGGCTTTGCTGTGAACCTTTCCAAGCTTTGCTTCTGCCTCACCGGCCACGGGAGCAAATCCTCCGAGGTCTCAAACCACATCAGGCTTTTTCGTTCTAAGCCTGAGCGACCAATGTCAAGGCGTGTGGGAGCTCTGTCTGGCGCTCATTCAGCAGAGAGGAAGCCCAAAGGAAGGAAGGTGAATGTTTTCTTTGCTTGACAATTTGCTTGCCAAATGGCATCAAAAATAGTGACACACGAAGCAATGGATGTCTACGACCCAACGGCCGATGGGCCGGCGCCCTTTCCGGCGTTTCCAGGCCGCCGGACGCCGATGCTCGTCTTGCAAGCCGGGTTTCTTCTTGATCTGGGCACCACGTGTGGAGGAAAAGCATTGTTCTGCAGTTAGGTTTTGGTTCTTTCTGGGGGTACATGACATTTACATGTCAGGTTGTCCGACATGCAGTTCGTGAGCTATAGGAGCAGATACTGGAGCAGGTTTTTCATAGTGCACTGGAATGTCACAAGGGCCACTTTCTTTCGAGAGCCAAGCGCTGTTTGCCTGATTGAGGTGGATCCACATGGATCCTTCGGTACTTGGTTAGGTTAACGACCGCCTAAAGCTTCCACAAACTGTGAGACACCAATCTTAAACCTGACAGTGAGTGACCAGTTCCAAGACAAACCACGGGACAAAAACAGAACCACCAGAAATTCAGAACCCTGGTGAGACACCCATATAAGTCCAATTAAATTCACTGTTCCTGAACATCATCTGGAATTCTGACATGCATTCAACATGCATGGGACAAAACATATCTTAAATGATGTATATATCTTATGTATATCTTTTGCATACTCTTATGCATGTATACATATATATAAATATCTACAATAAGCTACTAGAAACAAGTGCATCGCTTCTAGTAACAAAGTGCCTTAC